TTCTTTTAAGAGCCTCTTTTTGAAAAAGAAAGAAAGGAAGGAAGGAAGGAAGGAAGGAAGGAAGGAAGGAAGGAAGGAAGGAAGGAAGGGAAAGAAAGAAAGAAAGAAAGAAAGAAAGAAAGAAAGAAAGAAAGAAAGAAAGAAAGAAAGAAAGAAAGAAAGAAAGAGAAAGAAAACTAATAATCAAATGTGAAGATACTTCTTTTCCTGTTTTGGAAATTCCTGAGGCTGGCATAGAAGGACATTGTGTAAAAATTCTTTGAAAGGTAGTATTTTCAGCTAAACCTCTCAAGTACTTAAAAAATGTTAAGACCGGGATTGGTCCTTACTGACGCGGAATGGCACTGGTCGGGTAATGTAATACGTGAGAATTATGTCCAGGGCATGCCCAACAATTTGGAGGTGCTGCATTCCTGAGATAAATCCCTTGGTGTGAATGCTAAAGCCTAGGCGGGGCCTTCCTTTGCTTTAAAGGACCCTGAAAGGGCTAACAGGCATCTGCCTCAGCATGCTGACCCAGAGCGAAATGAGTCACAGCAGCCTTTCTCTCCAACTGCTCTTGCAACCTGAGCCACTTAAGTAGACTTGGCTTTCAGTCTACACACCATTTTTCCCTTTGACGACAGGAAATGAATGTGCATCTAAGACATGATTATCACTGCATTCAGACTCCTTTATCGCTTTAAAATTTCAAATATTGGGTTCCTCTGTGATTAACTCACTTTAGTAGAAGCCAAAATATAGTTATTAATCTTTGCTTTATCACACATATTCAATGTGCTCATACTTTCTGCATTCGTTTTCTCTTGCTATCACAAATTATTACAAACTTAAGTGGCTTAAAACCACACAAATTTACTATTACACAGATTTGTATGTAGATGTTCAACACTCAGATCACAATCAATAGATAATTTGTGAAATTATCCTAAAATACTCCAGTTAGTTCAACTAGTGATCAGGTTGTATCAAGACACTTGAGTCAACTTCTTAGCTCATATCTGCTGTTTATGAGTCTGATATTTTAAAAATTGCCTTAGGAAACATGTTCTTCTAATCAGAAGACAATAACAAGTTTGAACTCCTTTAACAGGGTATAAGTTTTATCAATAAACTACAGGAGAGAACAGAAATGTCACAGTGATGTAGGAAGTGAACTACAGCTGTGACCAGGCATCCAGGTACCCTGAGAATGCAGTATACCTCAGGGCAGCCGTGTTCCTTGTTCCAGATCCAAGTCTAGTATCTTCAGGATCTTTTGACTCACATGCTCTCAGTGATGTCCATCTACTGCCTCAGCAAGGCGTGTGCTGGAGCAGAGCTGAATAACAAATCTGAACCCAGCACTTGGGCACTCACTGTTGGGATTCCTCAGGGGACTCTCGGTGCCCCTACATGTCCATTCGGACGGCACCTCTGTGGACATGCCACCGAGTGGAGGGCCGGGAGTGAGTGACGGGCATTTTACAGTGATGAGGCCCGCTTAGACTCTGGGCCTTATTTATCTGGTTGGGTGGCAGACTAAGTGAGAAGAGCTCCTCAAATTCCTTGAGTATGTTGTGCTTTTAGAAGTTACACCACCCTGTGTTGTTTAATGGGATAGAGTTCCAGTTTTGCAAGATGGAAAAGTGCCGGGAGCCGGTCCATCCTGCTGTTTCAAGGGACCTGGCATATATGGCATACTGTTCTTAATACGTTTGCTCACCTTCTTGGCGCTGTGTTTTAACCCAGGTCACCTCCTCCGAGAAAGGTTGTTTCCCCAGGTAGGGATTTCCCCTGAAGTTAGGGAGGGAATAAAACCTCTTAACTAAGTGCCAGGCGGGTAATTAATCTCTTTAACCATGAACAATCATGCTTAAACTACATAATCTTTACTACCTGGAATGGAGATAAGAAACGCCCTAACCTTTGGAATAGAGATTGATAGGATTAGAATCAACTGGTATAAATACAGGTGTAACAAGACAACAGGACTCAGAACTTAGATGAAGATCCTAGAGACAGAACTTAGAAGACAGAACCTACACAGAACCTAGAGACAGAAGAACTTCGCTGTAGATCCGTGCAAGCCTGCTGATCAACTGAACGCTGTCTCCGTGTCATTCCTTCTTCGCCGACTCCGTCCACACCTTTGGGGACCCCTGGACCTGCTGGGTTTGGACCCCAGCAGAAAAGTTCTGGACGTCTCTTTCACAATGATGTGAATATATTTAACACTACTAGACTGTATACTTAAAAATGGTTAAGATGGTAAATTTTATATCATGTGGAGTGTTTTAACCACAATAAAAAAGGTTACAGCACCATGAACATGGAAGACCAGCTCAATGAACAAAGCCAGCAGGACAGTCTTCCTCCAGTGGGGACTCATTAGTCACATCATAAAATAAACTTTTAAAAAGGTTTTATGCAGCCCAGTTGCACCTTTTGATGTTATCCTTTACATGAAAGGCATCCAACTGTCCGTGCCTTATTTCTGTTAAGTGGAGCAGTCTTTGAATATGTTTGGCAAGGTTTTCAGGAATAAAATAAACCCTTTAGATAAAGAACAAGCAGGTCTCTCTGCATGGGCCTTGACCTACATTTTCCTTAAGCACTTACCAATGAAATGCAAACAAACCCAGGAACTGTCCGTGGCTCAGCTGGTATTTGGGCAAAGGATGAAACTGTACAGAGATACCTGAATGAAGCCTTTGGACTCTGCTGGCTACTGGGTGGGAGCAGCCCTCCAGTGCAAAGCTAAGTTATCCAAAGGAATAATAATTGATTCTAGGAACAATTAATTTTATTTGCTAATAATGAACATTGGAGGAAGAAATTTAAGAGCACAGAATCACTGCATAGAACTTAAAGCCCCAAAGGTAAGGCTCCCAACTGGGGTGATAGGCTCCCAATAATACTTTCTTTTATCTAACTCTCCTGACATGACAGCTTGAATTATAAATGCTTCCAACGTTTACATAATGAGAAGAAGAATGAGTGCCACCTTACATGTATAGCATTATTTTAAAAATACTGTGTCTATTGCATAATTTTATTTTAAAAATAACTTTGTGAACTAGATTAACTAGCTATCAGATGCACTCGAGCCTGGAGCACTTCATGGTTTGTTTACCATGAGATCAATGCTCAGCTTTTCTGGGTTAGTCTGCTTCATAAACATCTCCAGAAATCCGAACATCTGGGAATAACGTAGACCAAGTCTCTAGGTGAAGAGGTGAATTTTCCTCTTCAATTGTTTATTTCATCCACTAGAAGGATTTTACTTTTGAGAAAAGGAAGAAGATTGGTGGAATCTTGGGAATATCCTGGTCCCTTCCTCCATTCCCTTGGCTGCTTATCCTATCTTACTGGTTTTCAATCTCTCCCTGCAATGTCAGTAATATATGTAATTGTGGCAGGAGGTCTATGCAGTCTCTCTCTCTTCATTCCTTGCCCTCTTCATGTCTTAGAGAAAAGAAACCTTTTGACATAATGGCGGTGTGATGTTATATGTGCTCCATGTGGGAGAATCTGAGGTGGACCACAACTCACATGGAACACGGTTACAGACCGACAAATGTTAGGCTTCCTGCTGCCTCCCAGGAGAGGGACAGGGACTGTGGTGCCCACGACCCTGGCCTTGGACATTTCCTTTCTGGAAGGGTTCTACTTCCACACCTTCCCAGACACTGCAGGTCACATGATAAAATTAAAGTTCTCTGCAGCTGTGTTCTTTCTCCTGACTTCTCTAGGTTGTTTAAAGAATATTTTAGGTGTTTTGGGGGAAAACTCCATATCATGCAGTCTATTGTTATTATTATTATTATTATTTTTGCTACAAGAAAAGTTTAAAGTAACCTGGCCAGTCTCAGGGGACAGAGCTTTGGAAGACAATGAGTTTAGATTCCAGACAGTTTTTGAGTTAACTCTTCCAGTTTTGTAAAACAGGTCCCAGGTCTGAAATGTATAGTCACAAATCAATAACACTATTTTGCTAGCAAAATCTCCCTCTATCTCCCTGATCCTATTACTCCTTCACAGAAATTATGTGCACTTGGCAGCCAGGGCCTGCAGAGGGAGGAGGAGTGTCAATGTCCTTGGATGACTGCCTACAAGCCAAGTATGGGGAGGCTGTGTATCTGGGAGTATGGTCCCCTGATAGTGCCCCTGCTGTGTGGCACCTGGTGGGGACTCCAGGCACCTGGCAGAGATGCTACGCAGCTCCCTGCATGATAATGTTGCAGAGGCACAGCTGTCCCCTGCCCCTCACCCTCGGCAGATGATCTACCCAAGGTTTCTGCAGCCTCTTTGGTGAAAGGTGTTGTCAGCAAACCAGCTTGTGCTCCCAGCAAACTCATGAGGCCCAGTCTAGGCCCTCTTGAAGGTTATAAATGCCTAGCATGCCAATTGTGTGCCACTGTGTACTGCAGCAGGCTTCGCTCTCTCTTGCCTACCCCTGCCTTTCTGCCAACCTTTCCCCAGGACCCATCATTGCTGGATACAGGAGTGGGGGTGCACCAGTCAGCAAACTACAGATGAGAAACAAGTCCTAGGCCCCTGTTTCCAGAACAGCCCCAAACCTCAAAGGCAATTCTGCTTAGGAGCCTCTGAATTCAGAGGGCAACCATCCAGCAGAGTGGAGAAGCACAAAGCTCCTTGAAATTCCATGAATTTTTGACAGTTTTCTTCCGCATTTACTCCTTGTGTTGTATCAGGGTAGGTCAACACAAGGTGAGGCATGTAGGCTGACTTTGAACTCAGTAGATGGTCCAGATGCTGAGGGTGGGAGCAGAGAACAGCAGTGAGCCTGCAGTACCGTCCTGCAAAGAGCTATGAGGGTCCCCACCAGGTGTCTCAGCTCTTTGCCTTTTAGTTATAAGATTCCAAAAAGCAATCCATACATGTTTAGTTTGGCCACCAACTGTGGAGAAAGACACCTTGTAGGGATGCTTTATATCACTGTGGTGTAAACATGCGGCACCTGCCCCTGGCACCATGGGACAGCCTCGTGGGCCAGAATCCTTGTCTGCTGCCATGCCATCGTGGTTCTCTCCTTGCCTGGCCACCAGAGTGACTTCTCTGAGGCACAGCAGAGGTCAGGGACCCTGGATCTGTAGGCATGTGGAATTCTGATCCTACCTTCACTCAACTTCCTGTTTTCCTTCCAGTGGGGACTTAAATACTTTTGAGATGGAAGAAATGAACTCATATGGAACCTGACTTGACAGCTTTTTTTTTTCTCTTTCTCCTCAGGACTTAATCAGATAATTTGGGGTTATAGTAGAAGGCCCTACCTTATCTCCTGGGACTACTGCTCTGAGCCAACCTCCCCACCCTAAGAAGGCCTTCCACAGTTGATCCTTCCCCCAACGTTTCACTTAAAGAGGAATGTCTATGAGTGCATTTCAAAGCTCTTAATACAACCAGGGTTACAAGGTTCCCCGAGAGGCACTGCCTGTCCTGGGTTTGGTATGACAATATGTTGAGCGTATTAGGAAGAAAGATCAGCTTCATAACTTAATCTCCCCTTGTTCTTGTGTCGCATTCTGGCTGCCAAGCAGCATTCCCTGGCTCCCTGAGGCTGGGTTTTAAACAGAAACGGATTTTCTCTCTGTCTGGCCTGAACTCCAAGAAGGGGAAATGTTCCCAGATTCTCCGGCGGGTGGCAGTGGTGGTGGGTGGGGTTGAGAAAAGGGAGTCTCGGTGGGCTCTCTTGTGGATGCCATGGCTCAGGATGGGGGGCAGAGAGGTGCAATATTTGTTTTCAGTTTTCTTTTCCTTTGCTACAATCCCCTTCTATCCTCAAGCCTTTTACAAAGTTTTATAAAACTGGTATTTGCTATGATTTAGGAAATTAATGGAAGGAAAGGCCTGTGGCCACACTTGAGGGTCTGTTCAAGGCAGCAGAATGGCAGCCTGGACCAGTTGGCTGAGAAGAACTTCGGGAGTGGTCCAGGGAACGTGCCAGCAGAGGTGACAGCTGCAGCCAGGACTGTGTGAGAACTGCCCAAGGATGATCTCCGCTACCTCCGGGAAGGGAAACTGGTCAAGACTGAGTGTCCTGCATTGGCCCGGGTGAGAGGGTGTGTTCTTTGGCTATTAAGTGGAATAGTGACCCCTGAAGCCTTGAGAACTTGGGAACTTCTGGGCTATATTTAGGAATAAAAACTCTTTAAATTAAGACAGCTATGTTTCTTATTCCTCCAGCCACTGGCTCTATTCCCAAGCCTCCCCACCTACCTCCTCTGACTCTTAGGATGTTTCTGTAAACCACTTCACATTCTGAACAAAGAAGATAAACTGAGCTTCTCCGTGAAGTTTAATTTTGATCCTGCCCCTCTTCCTATGATGCTTATAAACAAACAAACAACAAAGGAAATATCCCCGAGTCCCAATCAACACATGCCATTATAGTACAAATATTCCATCATAATAAATATCTAAGGTAGTAAGATAAAAATATAAAGGTAATTTGGTATCTGTTTACCTCATACATGACTTCCTTAACCCAAATTATTTTATCACTATTTGTTCCCTGTTGAGATGTACCTGTGCCCTGAAAATATACCACCACCGGAGCCAGTCAAGGAAACTTACTTTCTATTGGGACTCCATTCGACAACCAGCTAATTCTGGGTTTGGGGTTGCCGTTAGCTCTGCAGATCAGGGCCCCGTCCTCTCCTGGGGACAGCACAAGATTTTGAGGTGCCATGATCCAGTATGGAGCCGCTTGATTGAGGAAAGAAAAACACACACAAAAATGTGAGTCAAATAAGAATTCTAGCTAATTTAGTATAATGACCTACTTTAATAAAAAGCATTTTGCAAAACATTTGTTAGTTTTATTTTTTAGAGTGAGTAGGTTTATCAGTGATGCTTCCAATAATACTTCAGGTTTTCAAAAGAATGTTTAAAGAGACTCACGGATATCTAGTTATTATTTCTAAACCTTTTTGATATAATTATCATCTGTTTTACATTAATTAATCGTACATCAAACAAGCCACAGATTTATCCAAGGGTTAGAGCAATTTACAGGTGCAGACAGGACTGAAAAAATATGAATTTAAATGCTGAGCCTCACAGAATCTATGTCATTATAAAATTAGGAAGCAATTTTTAAAACTTTGCAATTGTGAAAAGTTGCAAGGTTAATATATAGTGTTCCCACAAGCCCTTCACCCAGCCTTCTCTAATATTAGTATCGTATATAACCACGGTACAGTTATCAAAACAAGAAATTAACATTGGTGCAGCACCATTAACTAAACAACACACTTTATTAGAACTTCCCCAGTTTTTCCAGGGTCTTATTTCTGTCCCAGGACCCTGGACACCACATCGCATTTACTTGTCATATTTCCTTAGTTTCCTCCAATCTGAGAATTTCTTGGTCTTTTGTGTCTTTCATGACCTTTAGACTTTTGAAGAACACTGATCAGTTATTTTGTAGAACGCCTTTGGACTTGGATTTGTCTGTTTTCTCACGATTAGACTGAGGGTTTGGGTGATGGATCTTCTGATTACATCATATCAGGGAGCATGTGATATCAACATATTACTGGTTGTGTTAATCTTGATCTCTTGGTTAAGGTGATGTTTGCTAGGTTTCTCCACTGTAAAGTTAGTATTTTCCTGCTTTCCATACTCTGTTTACTTAGTGAGGCACTAAGTTCAGACCACATTCAAGGGGAGGGAACATAAGCTCCATCTCCTTAAGGGAGGAGAATAAAGAATGTGAAGACATCTATTAAAACTGCCTCAGTAAATTAATTCTTTTGTGGCAGGATAAATACTTAGAGGCTATACAAATATCCTCCTTCTCCTTAAGGTTTCATCCACTAATTTTAGCACTCATCACTGGCTCTTGCCTGCAGCAATTGTAATGGCGGGATTCTAATGGTGATTTTCCATTTCCTTCATTCTTTCTACATTTATTGATTGGGATTCTTTTGAAAGGAAGATTTGAGGAAGCTATTTTTAATCTTATTTAGATGCACAATAAGTATAAACAGCAATGAGAAGAGATTCACAGTATTATGAATGTTGATATAAATTTATATTTGTTATTATTGAAGAATATAATGAAAGGCATACAAACTGAAGATTTAGGGTCTCTCATGAATGCAAGAGCAATACATTTTAAACAATGCTATGTACCTTTCACTGTGACAGAAATGGTGTGATGGATGACTCCTAATGCATTTTTGGCTATACACTGGTACTTCCCCGAGTCTGCTTCTGAAACCTGAGTGATCTGCAGAGTTTTCTGAAAGTTCCTATAAAATGTCCGGTTGATGGGTAGTGTTCCATCTTCTTTTATCCAGTAAATAATTGGGGTAGGCCTGATAAGATAAAGGATGATAACACAAAAAAAGAAGTTATCTAACTGCTTTTGAGGGTGAAATTTCATGCAAGTTTATAATAAATGCTTTATATAAAGCTAATGAGAAATATATAGGTACTTTAACTAGCATCGCACTTTTATAAATAACGCTCAGAACCTTATGTTTAAGGCTATCACTACCATTTTCACATAAGCAGAACTACACTACTTTGTGGCACACCATAAACTTTGACTGCAGTGGTGTGGTGAGTATGCCAGCACGAGTTACTTTACTGACGGGACCTAAATGTTTTCTTCCAAGTTCTCATCAAAGAGGCACTCTTGGGAAATTTTACATGAAGGTACTATGCCAATCAAAAGAATTACCATGAAATTAATGATACTGAGTTAGATTTTTTTTTTTTATCAGCTAGAGTTAGAGATGCACAGAGAAAGAGATGATACACATAGTTGTACCCAGGAATTTTTTTTACACACATTTCCACATCAAATGGAATAACTTTTTTATTTCAAAGAAGGTTACCTGGTAATATAAATTAAGTAATTAGAGAGATGGTGCTCTTTCCTTAATGTCATTATTATTTACTAGAGGCCGGTGCACGAATTCGTGCATGGGCGGGGTCCCTCGCCTGGCTGGCAATCAGGGCTGATGGGGGCCCAGCTCATCCTGGTCGGTGCTGATCGGGCCAGCCGGCTGGGGAAGGGACCGTGGGAAGTTGGCTGGCTGCGGGAGGTTGGCTCTGGGAGCACACTGACCACCAGGGGGCAGCTCCTGCATTGAGCACCTGCCCCCTGGTGGTCAGTCCCCTCATAGCTACCAGCTGGTCGTAACAGTGACATAGGCTGTTATTATACCAGTTGACAAGAAGAGATTAAACTCGTGTATTACACCATTTCTCACGGTGTTTCTTATTCAATTATGAAGTGTAGAGACCGATGAAAAGCCAGAACACAGGCTTAGAGTTAAAGATCTGCTTTCAAGTGCCAGCCCTGTTCCTAAATTGTTCCCCGACCTTGGCTCCTTGGCCTCTTTGGGCTTCAGTTTCCTTAGCTGCCTTACTGGGCATAATATGCCTGACTCAATCAAGTGGCTTTAGAAGCTTTTCATGAGGATAAAATAAAAATCCACTCGACGCAAACATTTACTAGGCACGGAACTAGAGACCAAGCATTGAGTTGTGTGTTGGGAAGATAAAGATGAAGAAAGAATGATCCAGGCCCTCAGGAAGATCACAATATTTGTCATTAGAAATGCAAGTGGGATTAATTGATTATTTTAAAAATTGATTTTGATATATTTGGTTAAATAAAAATAATTTAACACACACACACACACACATATATTTGATGAAACGGTTTCTAAAATAAGGCATGATGTGAATATAAAAAGAGGCAAAAATGTGAAATCGTTTTGAGAAGCTGAAGCTACCATGCAGACGTGGAATCGGATAGCACACTATGGTGTTTCCTTACAGTCAGATTAATCTGCATCTCCTATGATCTGGAGGTGAGAGGGCAGTGGGGGTAGAAGAATGAGATCACAGCTTTGCTACGTCATGAACTGCTCTGGAGGCCTGCTACTCCACAGGGCAGGTGTTAAGAATTAGAAATATTTTTATTCTATGAGTCTCATGTTTATTGATTTATAAGTGGTAGAGCTCCAATCTTAGTTTTACAGCATTCCAAGCTTTAAAAAAATTTGGAAGTTTGATGCAATTTCCAAATACCAACCATATTTTAGATTTCTATGTAATATGTCACATGTGGGAAGGAGAATCACTACATTGTGAGAACAGGTCTGTCTGCTCCCAAAAGGTTGAAGGTTGGTAGATTAAACCACTTTTAACACAATGGTGAAGAAAATTGCAAGGGTTTTGGTTTTTGTGTTTGTTTTTTTATTCTACTGGGGAAGATATATACTTAATGAATCTTTAAATGAGGGCTTTGCTAGTTTCCAGGTACTTGAGAAACCAAGTAGTGTGTAGTGTGCTCTCCTGCCACAGCCAGCAGAGGCCTCCATTCATTCCTAAAGGCTGGTTCTGGGAAGGAGACTGCTGAGTCATCAGCACAGATCAAACATGTGATCACAACATGTTTCTGAGAGTCTATTCAATGCGTTCAGCATATGTGCCCATATCAATGGTACTTGCTCTATGCCATGTATCAGAAGGGACTAGGTAGAAGTTTGTCTCTAATGTGTACCTAATGTAACAGTTGTTCTTATATCTGAGCGAGGCCTTCCTGCAACTCCTGCCAAGGGCACATAGGTTCTAGGGGTGACATCGATTTTGACGAGACATTTGCAAAGAAGCTGGGCTTGTGACTTTACAGTAGGAAATAGTGCAAGGAACACTGTGCCAGTTCTGAGGCTAGGCCCTAAAAGGCTGTGTGTGCTTCTATTGTTAGAAGAATTACCCTGGGCTGGGCTGCTAGAGGGATGTGAGAAATTCAAGGCCAAGAGCTCAGCTGTGCAACTGACAGCCAACACTACACCCTCAGAACTGTGAACCCATAGCTGAGCCACCTAGTAGACACATAAACAGGCTCAACCTAAATCAGATGGATTAGCCCATTCCAGCACAACCTCCCTGCAGACCTGCAGAAAAATGATTAATGATAAATAGCTATTGTTTTTAAGCCATTAAGTTTTGAGGTGGTTTGTTACACACAGTAGCAAAATAATACACCCTAATTATAATCGTAGCAATCATAAGATGATAACTGATACTTATTTCATGAGGAACACTATTATATTAAAAATGTTTTAATAATATGAGATTATATGGCCTATTTTGGAAATAATGCTCAGATATTTCTTGATGCTTGTTGGAATTATATAAGACAGTGACTCTTCCTATGATACTAATACTTCTCTACCAATCGATTCTGTTTTTACAAGAAATGTACACCAAGACACAAAGTATTAACTCACAGTCCTTCTGCAATGCACTCTAAGGAAAGAACATTCCCTCTTAATTCCTCTTTGTTACTTGCATTGCCTTGTGGAGTTAAAAATGTTGGTGGCCTCTCTCTACTTGATTTAGCTGCAAATGAGAAAATCAATATGCATTAAAAGTTATGAATATGTATTTCCAGAAACACAGTTCACTGCCTGAAAATCTAATCCCTTTTCAAAACTATTTAACATTGTAAAATTTGTTAAGCTACACATGCACACTCTTTGCCTTACAAATAGCCATTGCTCACTTAGCCACCCAGGAGTAGGAACAATTTTGGTTGCATAAACACTAATAGTAAGAACTATTCTCCTTTTGTATATTTTCTTAATTTGTAATATTTTTTAATGAATTTTTTTGTGTACAGGTAAATTTTCACAATGCAGACATAGAAAGGAAAATCATGTTCTCAAACTAAACATCACGTAAAATTAGTGCTCAAAGCAAAATTAGCTGTCTACTTCCTAGAAGATGTTAAATTTTTCTGAGGGTATGACTGTGGAAGGGCTATTCTGGTTTCCACCAGGGACAACATAACACTCAATTCCATTGATTAATTATGGAGATAAATCTGTGGTAGATATCTAATATGTCCAAATCCTCAAACTGCAGGTTTATAGAAAACAAAACAACACAAAACAAAATTAGAAAGTTGCTAATAAAGGTCAGGCAAGTTTTGCCACAAATTAAGACTAATAATGGAGTTAAAGAAATTGAAATTGGTTTCCTCAACGAAAAATATAAAGAGGGCTCAAATCAGAGATCTCTGGGAGATGTATATAGGCCACCTTCTTTCTCATGGGGATATTGCCTAAATGTGGTCTTATATTCTGGTCAACTCTGAGAAAAACTTAGAGTAGAAAGCAAACCATATTCTGATTCTGTAGCCTTTTATAGTTTTCAAAACTTTAATGCATTAACTATTTGATGCTCACAAAAGCTGAATATTGTAAAATTATAGTTTTCCTAAGATTTTGAAGTTAGAGGCAATTTTATTCCTCTGAAATCACTTTGGGAATGGTTTTGAGGCCTATGTCTTTCAGGAGTTTGTTACACTAAAAATAAAATAAAACAGGAGCTGTGGCATGTCTATTCTGGTGATTGATAGAACCTTAATGTTTTTTACTTCATACTCAAAGGTAAAAAAAATAATGCAGCAGAAATTCTGCCTTCTAGATAATTAAGAAGACCCCATATCCAGAATCCCTAATTTTCAATGATCAATTCTGTACCTGAAATCCACATTTCCCTTAAGGAAATCAAATTCTTTTCTTTTCAAAAGAATGAAGTTAAATGTTCTATTTTGTAAAAAATTACTTCTACTGAAGATAATGACTGGGTTTTAAACAAAATTAAGAGAAATACTGTTGCTAATTATACGATATTCATAATGTCATGTGAAAACAGATGGGAAGTGTGATGACTTGCAATCAAAACCCACTTACTGTTAGTTGCTAAAGATTACTAAGACGGTGAAGAGTTAGTATTCAAGCAGGTTAATGCACTTTGCCAATTATTTAGTTCATGAGAAAAATTTATGAACAAGACAAAAAATGAAAAATCTAATTCTGAACACACATGAACATTTTTTTCCAAATTATGTGAAATGGTTCTTTGCATGAAAACAGCTATAATAATTTTCATTATTATACATACAACATGGAAAATGTTTTAGTGGCATGTTTGCAAGCTTATAGCTAAATTTCACAAGAAACATACATTTATTCTAGTGGTAACTAGGAATTTCATAAAGAAATAAGGTTAAATAGCCATGGAGGTGAAGTTAGTGAACTAAATTCTACAATGAAGGAGAGATTATCAGTTACAATCACCATAACTCACCACCATAAACCTCAGTGTCACTCAAATTAGCAGCTATAGTGTCATTCAATTCATCCACTGAAATAAACAGAATATTATGAAGAATGTAAAAAGTAGGGGAGAAGGTATTGCAAGAAAAAATACTGGGCAATGAAAGCAAACACATCCAGCTATGCTGACCAAGTGCCATCCCTAACAACTAAAACCAGTGCTTTAGATTGTACATGACTAACTCATTGATTTACTCAGTCACCCCTAACCAGCATTATGTGAACATATAACTGAAGATGTAGGTTTGCCCACTGAAGGCCTCATGGGGCATAAATCACACGCAAATGCGCAGAACTTCAAGTGAATTCACAAAGCTATCAGGAAAACAGTAACGTTAATGATAGCAAAAATTGCAGAGTACTTAGGGTATGTATGCCTGCTCTTTATAACACATACGGCAGCACTAGAGTCACTATATTCACAGGTAGTTTCCTGATCAATGAATCAGTTTACTTAAGTCAGTAGTACTTAATGGTTAATATGTTTTACACATCATTGAAAGACAGATGCAGGGAGCTAAACACTTACCTAAAATCACCTTCAGAGAAATAGGTTGTTTTTGCTGTATGGTTTGAGTGTGGTTAAATCTGGCGTAACAGATATAGTCTTCGCGGGAATCCTCTGGGAGAACATTGGAAAAATAAAGGTCTCCATTCAGACCCTGGGAAACCCTCTCACTCTGTGGAAGTCTTTGAAAGGCTGGGGAAAGGCAGAGAGACAGCCGGACCATTCTATCATTAAAGCGACCACTTTCCAAATTAGCAAGACAAATGTATCTACCACTAGTTCTATGTATTATTAAATCTCCAATTGTACCTGTGGACCCTAATTTCTCTGGATTAGGACAGAGATAAAGTTGTACAGTGAAGTGTTTTATTAAGCAAGTGTAAACCAGAAAAAAAAAAGAGTTTGTGTGACTTTTCCTAATATTTAAGTTAATACCTAAATATGCATATATACACACATGCCTTAGAATATGCATTAAGGAAGCTTATAAGGATATTAACCTGGGTTTCATCTTCACAAATGGCCAGACATCAAATACTGTGAGAGCACCTACCTGTGAACTAGGCCCTGTGCAGGTGTCGGGCACAACAGGATCCTTATCCTGTCTGAGCTTGTCTAACTGAAGAATCAGGCAGCAAAAGGGCAATTAACAATAGGGTGCAATAATGACACTATTTAATGCTGCAGACATGCCCCTCAGAAGCCCGCCTCACCCAGCCTTCCTTACCTCCTCTTTTTCTTTTCTGAGTTACTTAGCACCTTCTAACATACAACATATTGCATTTGTCATATCCATGGCTTACTGCCTGTCTCCCCATGCCAGAATTCAAGTTCCAGGGGGACAGAGACTACCGCCTGCATGTCTACGGAGGTAGCACTGAAGCTGCACCTTGCCCTGCATAGGAGCTCCCTAATTAAATCAGCACCTGTCAGCTTTGGGTTTAACCATTTACTTCCTCTCAGGTCCAGTTGAGAAACTGTCTAGCTTCAGGCATGAAGGGAAGCTTTTCTAAGCTGATGAAGGATGCAGGGAAGTGAGACCACTGATCTGGGCGTGAATTTACACTGGGCTGGCTAACATGCATCTTGAAGCTTCTGACAGTCCACAGAGTCTAGACTGGGAGAATTCTTCAGCTTTGAAGTGAAAGAACTAGGAAAAATTGCACATCCCCGGCCCTGGGCCAGCGTGCATGGGACCAGAGGATTTCTCCAGTCCGAGTCACCGCTGTGTTCCTCCTGCAGCAGGTACCCTACCTAACATTTCACAAAAGGCAAACTTATGGTTCAAAGCCTGCAGCTCCCTTGGGCAGAAAACATGGCAGAGAAATGTGGAGCCAGAGCCAGAGACAGCGCTGGTTAGCCATGTTAATAAAGTTTCTGGTCAAGACGCAAATTTGGCTGGTGATTGTAAATTCATGGTTTTGAGTCACTAATCCCTAGGGAAAGCATTGTTTTAAAAATAACTCATAAAAATAATGTACATTTATTTAGTGAATACAGAGAGTCAAAGATAAGCATGCATTTATTCTCTTCCATTTCTCCTGCTGTATTTTATTACTGACGGTGGTCAGTAGATCAAATTAAAGTGCCCATTGAATTCCTTTGCGTTACATTTAAAAAAAAATGTATGCAGATAGAATAACTTGATAATGTCATCTTGCAAGAAGGATGCTATACAGGTCTGAATTTTTCTCATATTCCAGATGCAATTTTATTTGAAAGATGATATGCCAACAGTCTAAAATGTATGTGAATGACATAGCGAGCAGTGCAATATGGAAAAAAATTAGTTATTTATTCAGATGATTCTGAAACTATACATGTGCATGTATCTTTACTGAGTGAAAAGGTCATCATTTCTGAATAAGAACCAAGGACCAAATACTGGCCTCCCTTGGCAGTGACATTTAGATACTGTTATTCTCAATGTCATACACCAGACATTCACATTTGATTTATTGCTTACTCTTTCAAAATCAGTAAAAGCAATAATGGGAAAGATATGTTTGCTCATTTACTCATGTATATGTTTATTTTCCATTTCTTCATGATACTTTCTCTGAGTGCTTTCAAATAAGAGTCAAAATGGAAATTATATGTTAGAGCTAAATTTAATCTTTGGTAATATGTACAGCACGTGACTTCAGAAGAAATCACGTCATTGAGAATAAAATATATTCCCAACGAATATTTAGCTTGCATTGCCACCATTACACCTAAAGGATTCCTGTCAAGGTCAACAGGAACCTCCATGTTGCCCAAATTCAGTAGTCATTTCTCAGTCAGATCAGAAGATATATGATTTACCAGCAGCATTTGAAACAGTTGATTATTCTGTCTTTTTTTAAAAAAATTATCTTTAGCCAAAACCGGTTTGGCTCAGTGGATAGAGCGTCGGCCTGTGGACTGAAAGGTCCCGGGTTCGATTCCGGTCAAGGGCATGTACCTGGGTTGCGGGCACATCCCCAGTAGGAGATGTGCAGGAGGCAGCTGATCGACGTTTCTCTCTCATCGATATTTCTAACTCTCTATCTCTCTCCCTTCCTCTCTGTAAAAAAATCAATAAAATATATATAAAAAAATTATCTTTATTGTTGCAAGTATTAAAGAAATCTCCACCACCACCACCATTGCCCCCCTCCGCCCTGCTCCTGCCCCCTCCTGAGGCCTTCATCACACTACTGTCTGTGCCCACGGGTTATGCATATAAATTCTTTGGTTAATCCGTCTTGTTCTGTCTTGTCTTGTTCT